TTGTCCAGACCTCAAGGCAAACAGGCCGCACAATAAATCACCACAGTCACCGTGAGGCAACAGGCAACAGGCAACAGGCAACAGGCAACAGGCCGGGGTATCATTACTGACTGATGGCAAATGTGACTGATGAGGAGGGGGCTGTGGGCTGTGTGTGTGTTTTTAAGACTGGATGTTGCTGGATTGTTCCTTTTATTTATTTTATCTTTTGGATTTTTATTTTTTTTAGTTCCACACCTCAAAGTCAAAACACTCTCCCCTTTGATTACTTTAGAAACGACCTGATATCAAAGTAAAATGAACGTAAAACAATCTATTTAAGAGCGTTTTTGTCGGTTGACACATGACCTGGCAACCGAGCCGTCGAAACACCTGGCAACCCACAGCACGTTAGCTTCATGACGAGGTGGATGTAAAACAACAGAGAACGTTGACTAACTAGGTTAATAACCAGGATTAAATCAACTTGATGTGACGAACAAACCTCACAAGTTTGTTTTCTCTTATAAAAAGAAAAATAAACTCATATGTCGCATTCGGAAACAGTGACTCGGCCGCAGGTGTGTTTGTTCGTTTGTTTGTTCGTTTGTTTGTTTGTTCGTTCGTTCGTTTGTTACGCTCGCCGTTATATCCTAAATATTTAATGAAAATAAACATTAAAACGCCTCGTTATTTTGTCTGCTGCAGGTTAACAGGATGCTGACGACACGGGAGCAGAAAAGAACGAGTCCGTTTCTGCACAGGTAGGAAAAGCTGGTTTTGTTTGTTTGTTTGTTTTAAAAACAGAGTTTTGCTTAAACTGAATTGTTTGTGCTGTATTTACTTTCCAACGTTGCTGGTCTTCTGTGGCTGTTTTTTTTTTTTTTTTTTGGATGAATTTACCTCGTAAGTTGTAACCGTTGTAACCGTTACCGCTAAAACAAAATAAAACATCTCTGTGACAACGAGTTACAGTGGAAAGAACTGAGAAACAGAGGGAATTTTAAAGCTTTCATGGTCACAAGATGTGAATCTACTTAATTTCAGTTTT